TCAGTTTTTATAGCTAAGGATTACAAATTCAACATAAAGGTTCTCATAAATAGTTCATACTATAACCAAAAAATCTAAAAAATATATGAACATACTTATTTTAAATTCAAATTTGGACGAAATTACATATTAAAAAACCTAGAATAACTATTTTAGTTATTTTGTTGTGATTGAATAATATTATTCGTGGGTACTTGAAACTTCTAAAGTGTACTATTATATATCTATGATAGTTTTACGGTTTTTGTTGATGTATAACGCGTTATAAGTATCTAATGGATATTGTGATATGATTAATTTGGAATTTATTATAGGTACCTATTATAGGTCAATTTTTTGTTTAATACCATAGATATGTATATAATATGTCTTATACATACACTGACATACCGTCACCGCTCAGAATCGTTTTTCTTATACAATGATATTATATCATTGAATTCAAATTTAATACCATCCATTATACAGTGACCCACTCGTAACCTACTGTACAGCAGAGCGACACCCACTTGCCCACCTTTTTAAATTATGCACTCAAAATATGCCTTATGTAAAAAAATCACGAGCAAATTTTAAAATAATAAGAATAGGCAAGTCCATAAATTTTAAAAGTATTTTATTCCTTTTAATTTGTACCTATGTATTTAACATTTTAACGGTCAAAATTAACAAAATAAAAAATAAAATTTATACTTGTGAAGTTCAAATAGCTTTGTCATCTTTATAAATCGTAATTTATTAAGTAGTCATTTTTTGTCTAATTTGTGTACATATCCTTATCCTGCACCTACAATGAAAATATTTGGAATAAAATATTAAGTATTTCATTTTGAGATATTTTAGTATAATATTTATAAAAAATATATTTACTTTAGATTTTACACTGTACTATTAGTGTTTTTTTTTCATGTTTTCCAACTTAAAAAGTCGGTGATTGTCTACAACTACATTTTTGAGAACAAAATTTTTGTACCAATGTACAAAATTATAGTTGGTGAGAAGCTGCACTCGTGTACATGCCTGTACAGGTTCGTTTCGACGACGAACTTTATTCGGTGGAGGTGATAGCGATTACATTGTTTCCACGGTACTACGTAAAACGCATAAAATCTAAACAGGTATGTACTAGGAGTTAGGACACTAGGTAGTCACACACTCACACTAGAATAAAAATAAATCAAAACACTATAATTTTGTAAACGGGAAAGTAAATAAGAAGCAAGAAACTTTTCAAGTATTTGAATATAATATATAATATATTTATTTTATGAAATAATATGCACTAACGACTGTAAAATATCGATTATATGCCAAATACGCCTTTACACCCAAAACATGCACTATCAAACTTCATATTATTATTACTATTTTTATGAAACGGATTTGTATCTCAGTTAGCATGTTTTCATGTGTAGCAAAGATGCATGAACTTACAGCCGGTTGTCGTTTGCATCACTATTGTTATTTTTGACCTTTTTTGTAAGACAGTTGCTCATCGTTTTGATCAAAAAATTATATTTTGATTATACATCGTTTGCTCATCGATCGTTTAAAATGTCGTACATCATTTGCGCATCAATATTATTTAATCATAGAACTGAAAAAAAGGTGTATATACTCAAAAGCGCGTTGTTCTCTAAATTTAATCATAAAATTCAACTTTCAAATATTGTATAGGTATTTCTGTTTTAAAATGTATATGTACCGTAATAATATGTAAAAATGAGTCAATTACAATTCATTGATTCAAATATTTTAAAAGCTGCAGCTATTTTCCAAAAGTATTTTTATACAGAAAGGAAAATTCTGAAAAAATGGTGAGAAATACCTACGTGGAGAACACACGTCACCTCCAATTGACGGATTCGGAGATAGAAAAACACGAAGTAAGTCAAAATAAGAATTATAATTTAATCGGTGATTTGACAAGGTTTATTTAAATACTAATGTCTATAAAAAATGTTCACTTGATTAAAAACTTAAAAATGTAGAGTAATAAAGCCCCTCGTAAGTTTTTAACAAAATTATGATAAATTAGGTTAAACTCACGAACATTTGAAAATTATTTTGACTTAGAAATATGAGTAAGAATAATGGGACATTACAATAGAAAAAGTATTGATTTATAATATTATTTTAACTTATTTTGCTTTATTAATTTGGACTATAAGTTATGTGTATTTGTATTTTAACTATCAAAAAACTGGAATGTGACTAATTCAACTGAGTAAAATTTATTTTTTCTCAAACTTTATGTATATTTGTATTATAATTTATAGTTATATTGACTGTAGCCTGTAGGTAATATTCCTAATTGAAGTGAACACAATTTAGTTCAATTCATTTTTACTCAAACTACCTACGTATACGTTATATGTATATTTGTACTATAACTGTATAATATACCTAATGTAATTGAATACAATTTATTTTTAAATACCAAATATTTTCTCAAACTATATGTTTATTTGTATTATAATTTATAACTATGACTGTAATATTCCTAAATGAACTGAACGCAACTTAGTTAATTCATTTTTACTCAAACTACCTATATGTTATATGTATATTTTTTACTATAACTATGACCATGTATTAGGCACATTACCCTAATTGAACTGAGTGTTAAATTTTTTACTACAAAATAATTTTCAAATATTTGCGATTTTGATAAATGTTGTCAACATTTTAACTTTAAATGCTTATTGAACAAAAACTTTTGCCTTTGTATATTAGATTATTCATTATCTATATAATATTATATGTGTGTACAATTTATTATTATTATAATACCTTTCTATTGTTCAGAATTTTGATGCGCATATGATGTACGGCCGAACTTACGAGCCCTGCTAATGACTCTCCGGGACGAAATGTCCTATCTCAATAATTGCCGGGGACGAAAAGTCCGTGGACTGGTTTTTTTGACGGGGACGAAACGTCCGTGATTCGTGATCAAGTACGTAGGTATAGCGTGTTGTAAATATGTTTGCATCGGATTTTCATAAAATTATTACCTAATTCTGAAAACTCTGTTGTAGAAACTACATAGAATGTTTGGTCAATATTAAAATTTAAAATTTAAATATTAAGAAAAATGCACAATTTGAATAAAGAATCGAAATAATATACATTATTTATTTATACATTTTTCGGAAGGTATAAACAAATGTTATGTTTCATAAAATGCAGTGATATTGTAACGGTTATCATATTTTGAACATAATTTATGTATTTTGACTAATACAAATTGTATCATTTGTTTTGTAGACACAAAAAACTTTAATGTATTAAATATAGTTATTTTTTTAATCGAATTACATGACATAATACTACATATTTATTTAAATAGTTATTTACTGTTTTCTCGGTATAGATCACACAAATACACGATAAACCTCTAATTGCCCGGTAGATCACACTCTTTACTACTCTCCCTACGTTCGAACAAACATTATACAATATATACTTACAAAAAAACTTTATGTTTAAATACTAATCATCTACTAAACATCTACTCTTGTCTCTTGCTGCAATAATTAGGCGTACCCTATATTGTCTTTTACAATATATTTAAACACATGAACCAGATACAATTTATACAAATTAATACAAACAACAAATTATCACGTACACTATAATAATATTATGTCTACATATCATTATTAATTTCAAACTCGTGTCTCATGGTATATTCATGATATAATATGAATTATTGTAGCGATAAGCGACTGAGGAAATAGGTATACTATGTTTAAAATTTTAAATATTATATAACAATAACATTATCCTAAAAATTGACCAAGTTCAAAAGTTTTATTATTTCTTGTATAAATAAATAGTATAGATACAAATAGATAGGAATATAATAGATATATATTATAATTGAACAACTACAAGTTACAGCAGAGTCCTCAGTATCCTCTGCAATATACATGGCAATATCGTATGCGGGTAGCTCCCGGCGGCTACAACATGTCAATATCCAGCTCGACGGCAGTGGCTCGAAGCTAAGTAAAAAAAAATTGCCACTAACGTATAATAACAGGAAACCACCGAGTTTTAACATTGAAAAATCGTCCGAATTTATGTCATTTCTTGGTACTCGTCTAATGTGCTACCTACCATAAAATGGTATCTACCAAAAAAGTAAAAACTGTACGACTGTTCAACTGTTGAATGCTATCTACCGTAGTTATTTTTATTATATATCATTTTATTGCGGCAAATTACGGCATTCGAGTCATTACGATAAATAACTCAGTGGTGTAGTGGGGCGTATACGCGGGTATACGGCGTATAACGACTTCTCCAGTTTTTGGTTGATGCGTATACTTATAATATAATTTGTGATACGCAGGTATACAGGTATACTATTTAGCTATAATATAAACAGTATTAAGTATTAACGAATAACCAATAATACCAAACATATTTCCTTGTTATCACGTTCAGGAACGGTTATTATTTTTACGCTCTGCACACCCGGTTTTTTCGGCACTGTGCATGGATCTATATTTATTATATACAGAGTGTTTCAAAATGATTCATCCGATTCAGGTTAGGATGTAATGTAATTAATGTAAATCGGATGAATCATTTTAAAACACCCTGTATAATATATATTATACATCTAAAATTATTAGCTTATCGATAACGATCGCCGACGCCGAGATGCACGGTCACATGCATTACCGAAAATAATTTTGTCAATAAATATTATTTCGTGTACACTGATTTACTGTGTCACTATACAGTAAACAGTTTACCACAATAATAAAACATTAATAACCTTTGTAGTTAATATATTTTCAATTTTGTTAATATTTATACCGTATATTAACCGTAATATTAACAAATACAAATATATCGGTAAAAATTATACCTAACTCGCTTTGAAGAAAATGTTTTTATTCTTAAATTGTTAAATTGTTAATTGGTTATTAGGTACTTACTACTTATTACTCGTTATTAGTTATTAATTTAAAGCAAAAACAAATATGGTTTTTAAAAACATAACGTTATTTGATAACCAAAATCAATTTTTAAGTAGTGTTTGTAATAATCTTCAAATGCGTTTACTTGAATATAATAATGAAGATTCAAAAATAATATGTGATATACAAATATTAAATAAATGTACTTGGCCCAAAGATGTTGATATAAGATTTGGCGAAGAAAAAATAAAATATTTGACTCAGCGAATTTTGATTAATACAGATACTGCTATTCGGGGCATGAGAAAATTTGTTGATAACAATACCATTGTGATAAATGAAGAATTAAAAAAATTAGATGTGCTTGTAAAAACTTTACCAGTATCTACTGCTGAGTGTGAGAGAGGTTTTAGTCTGATGAATTTAATATGTTCTGATCTCAGATCTAGGTTAACTATACAGAATATTTCTAACCTTATGTTTATAATTTTATAAATGTTAATGGACCACCGCTTTCTCAGTAGAATCCAACAGATTATGTGAAATCATGGCTATTCAAACATAGGTCTTCAGATGATAATAGACAAGAAAAGTGGCCCTTCCAAATCTGGAGAAAAAGGATTCTTTATGGAAAAATTTGTAATTGGTACAGATTTAAATACATTAAAATTTAAAATATAAATATAACAATTATATTCAACAAATATTATAACAAATATATTTTAGGAGTATGATTTCAGATTTTTTTTTTTTATTGATCCTTAAGCCCGGCATCTATGGCCATTAGCTGTTAGTAGGTTGTAAGGTGGTGATGGTAGGGTTTTACACGTGAGTGTTTGTGTTTTTGGCAGATTTTCGAATGGGGCACCCGTAGGTTTCTGCCATGTCCCGGAGTGGGGGATGGCGGCACTTGTTCTCCGGACACCGTGACTTGCCCGGAGAAAAATGCCGCCCAGTGGTCGAGGATCTAACCCGAACCGGCCGCGCTGTAGCCGACACGTTAGACCGCTCGGCCACCTCGTCCCCCGATTTCTGATTGTAAACTATAGAGACTCAATAATTGTGGTAAGGTAGTAATAAAGTGTATCTAATTATAAATATAAAATTAATAATAACGTAGTATATATGGGGGGTGTGGGGGGCGAAGCCCCCCACGTTTACATATCAAGCACATTAAAGCGTATAATCGGTAAAAAAATTACGACTTCACCACCGTAAATAACATATTACCACATAGTACCAATCGGTCAGAAATATTGTGCAGATGGGAACAGAGGAACTCGCTAGCAGATTGGTTAGATGGTTTGGTTTGTAAGTTATAAGCAAAAATGTAACAAAAGTACATTCAAGACCGATTTTGCTTACGGAACAGCGGGGACCGATAAGCGGTGGGTCGGGGAGCGAAAATATCGTTAATATCCCCCGACCCACCGGCCACCGCTTATCCATTCCCTCTACTCTCATCGCGGCGGCGGCGGCGACGACCGCGACGTGCTACGCGGTCTCTCGGATGCCGGTCGCCGGCAACCATTTACCATTTACCATTATTTCGCGTATATTGCTAACCAGCAAGATAGTATAATATAGATTATATAGGTACGTCTTGCTGACGACACAACGACAGCCAAGGCCGGATTAAGAACCTATTGGGCCCCGGGCTTGAAATTTCATATGGGCCCTTTTGACAAGGCACGCTTTAAAACAAACTGGCTACGCCCGCAGGAAGATACATTTTTCTAACTATTTCACAACTGGCAATTGCATTATAAAATTATAAAATGAATAGGTAAGTATATGTAATTTATATGTCTATAAAGTATACAACCACTATTCACTAATTGTAATTGTATAATAAAAGTAAAGACGGCAGAAGCTGATATGTACATTTTACAAACTTAGTTTTACCGCTACATATATTTTCAAATACCTAATGACTTATCAGTTTTGGTCTTTGAATATAAATGGCACCACACACATAATAGAGACATGATAGAAGAAAAATTTTTTTAAAAATGAAATATACTATTTCTAAACTATTTAAATGATATAATTGAAAAATGAACAAAATGTACATATCAGCTTCTGCCATCATTCCACAGAGTTAATACTTCATATTTCATTAATTTAATTTCAAATTTTTATACCAACTTTTAAATTTATTAACATTATACTTATTTACAACAAATATTAACTAACAGTTATTAAATAACAGTAAAATGCGCCTTTCCTACAAAAAGGTATATTTACTATTTAGTTGTTTTTGTCGATAAAAAAAATGGTTTTTAAAATATAGAAAAACTATTCTTTAAAATCACTGAAAAATGTGTATCAGCTTAAAATTGTTTGGGCCCCTTTCATTTTGGTACTTGAAAGGGCCCCGGGGCTTCCGCCCCGGCTAGACCCCTCCTTAATCCGGACTTGACGACAGCTGTGATGGTTCACTGTTCAATGATTTCGTGATCCGGCCCGACGGTATTATATTGTTATGCTGAAAACTTGGAACAATAATAAAATAAAATAAGCAATCTGGTAATTGATTCATTAGCCGCGGCAACAATTAAGGTCGATGGCAAATCATATGCTCTTAATTCTGTGATTTACCATCATGGTCCATCTATGACTCAAGTCTCAAGTCCATTACACATCAGTTAGGTAGGTATTGAACATTTTTTTTATTTTATATAAGTAATTTACAATCTGTACCAATAGTGTGTACAATAAGAATATGGGCTATACCTATTATTTGCAATGACATGAAACGGTTGATGGAAGAAGCCACCCAGTAATGACACTCCCTGGACTTGACTAAATTATTAAACATAATAATAAAATATGGGTTAGATGTAACGATATAATACCTATTTATATTAAAATTTTAGAAAAAAAAATCTAAAATAGAGAAAAAGATATCACAACGGGAGGCCAACGATGCATATAATATGCTATTATGGATTATTATTATTATATACAGTTAAATAAAATCGCAACTTATTTCCTAAAAAAAATAATTTTTTAACTTTTTTCACACGGAGTTATAACGAAGTGTTTTTGGTGTGATATTATGTAGTGAATTCTGAATAGTGATAATATTAAAAATTTGCTCTGCTGTACAATATGTTACAATTGGGTCACTGTATAATGGATGGTATTAAATTTGAATTCAATGATATAATATCATTGTATAAGAAAAACAATTCTGAGTGCAGACGGTATGTTAGTCTAGGTATAAGACATATTATATACTTATATAATAATTATATACCTATCCTATTAAAAAAAAATTGATCTATAATAAATTAAAAATTAATCATACCACAATATCCATTAGGTTCTTATAACGCGCTATACATCAATAACAAACCGTGATACTATCATATAGATATATAATAGTGTACTTTAGAAGTTTCAAGTACCCACGAATATTATTATACAATCACAACAAAATAACTAAAATAGTTATTCTAGGTTTTTTAATATATAATTTCGTCCAAATTTGAACTTAAAATGACTATAAAAATAAACTGCGAATATGTATTTTTTAGATTTTTTGGTAACAGAATTAACTACATACGTAGAATCTTGTTTTAAATTTTCAATCCTTAGATATAAAAGTTGAACATTGTATACATTTTTAACTACAAAATGATTATTTAATTTTCAATTTGATAAATTTTGTCAAAATTCAATCTTTAAATAATTATAAGAAAAAATTGTGCCTGTGAATTTTTAATATTTTTCAACTGCTGTTGTAACAATATATCAGGAGCCATGCATTAATTTTTACACTTTTTGGCCCAACAGATAAAGCTTTATTGATATTCAAAGAATAAAAAATAAAAAAATTGAAATATGAAATTGTCCGTAAACTGCTCAAAACAAGTCAAAATATTTTGAAAATGTTATCGAGTATAAAAATTGATAAAATTAACATTCTATTGAGCAATAGTCTCGGAATGGAATGTTCAAATAAGTTCTTTTTCTTTCTAATAGTGGTTATTATTTCTTTTGCCGTCGACTCGGCTGTTACGTGTGGTAGCAAGCTGCCAGCTGGGAAAACTATTTAAAATTGTTTTATCAGTAAACGTCTACAAACCCCATACAGTTGTAGGTTTATATTTGTGTGTATGCAATTTGCGCCAAAAATAACCACCCCCCCCCCCAAAAAAAAAAAAATATATAATATGACTAATATGTAATTTTCACCACATCTAGTTAATTTTGATAATTTGAGCCACTTTTTAAGGTTGTAGTTTGCGCCACACAAAACTAAATAAAAGGGCATGAAGTAATCTACGCTATCGTTAACGCCTACAAAAATTGTAATTTGCTCCATGGTTTTTCTTATTAAAATCGTAATTTGCACCTCTTTAAAATAACTAAATGATCAAGTTTATTTTAATAGAAAATCAGTTATATTATAGTTATGAATAAATGTATATAAATATTAGGTACTCGAACTTTATCTATATTAATTAGGACAAATTGTTTTTTTTTAAATATATACCTATGAAACTGAAAATCAAATAAAACATTTTTTTCTTTTAATTATTGATCTTGTATTCTTAGTAAATACATTTTCATATGAATACATTTTTAATTATATTTACTCCATATTAACTTATTTAACTAATATTTACAAAATCATTGTGTTGTTAAAACTGAAAATAATACAACATTTATTTAATTATATCGTCTAAACTTAAGTTTAACAGCGACTTGAAAAAAAACCTTTATTATATGAAAAAGTAAAACTAATGATTGAATATAACATATAAATAAAAATAATTTAAGATAAACATTATTCAAAAAGTTCAACAAATGTTGTGTTTTCTATACAAAATACATATTTTTATAAATATTAAAATATTTGTTTGTACAACTGTCAATTGATTATCAGCAGATTCCATGTTTAGAATATGACAGAAATGATGATTGTGCTTTAAAGCATCAATGATGAATACAGGCAGCTGTGGTTCTTGGGCTTATTTAAATTTATTTACATGCTGGTGGGTATACTGGTTATATTGTTTCTGTAAAATCAACAATTAAATTAGTTACATAATAATTTATTAACTATTAAAATAATACCTAAGTATCTCCATATTAAAATAAAATCATGATTTAAAATTATGAAACAAGTGTAATTTTTCTAAAACAGATATTATAGCAAACATAGATGTTATACTCAGGGCCGGCTCTTAGGGAACTATGCGCCCTTGGCAAAGAGAATTAATGCGCCCTCTAGTTGAGGTTAAGTATTTTCTACTCAGAAGTCAGAATAAAAAAACAAACTGTTTTAATTCATTTTTATTACTGAAATAAATTTAAAGTAAAGTCATTTTTATAATAATAATATTAATAAGTATATTATATTATTTAATGGATAGGTTTGTTTATATTCAAATAATCATCATATTTTTAAGTGGAACTTAATTTACCAATATTCAATCGAAAAAATAAATTATTAAAAAATTAATATCTGAACTCTGAAGGCA